TGAGGAAAAAGGTATCGCTATTTATTGCACCTTGTATGGGCATGATTGTTGAGATTTTTAAAAAAATTAATAATCCATTTCCCCTTTGCACGTAATTAAAATGTTCTCCAGTTTCTAATTTTTGTCATTTTCCTAATCTAATTTGTTTGCTGGCTGTGTCGACTCTTCCATGTGCAAAGCGAGGGGGATTTTTCTTTGTTTGACGTGACTGGGATATGACTGTCCAGGAGAGTTTAAATTGTGTTATTTTTTCCTTGGTTAAATGCAGTGCGAATGGAATCATCGGAGCGTCTTAATGACTAAAAGCGGAAACAAAACAAAACTATGTTTCAGGCATTTCTTATTTACCCAGTTAAAAAAAATAATTACGGAGCAGAGCCGCAGAAATAGATGGCCGTGGCTGCGGGCGCCGGCCGCCCCCCCAGTCCGAGGGACGCCTCGGCTCGGTATCTGCAAACGCAAGCCCCACTTTCCAATGAAACAAATTTTAAAATGTTGACAGCGTCTCGGGCCGTGATTCTAAGTGAATTCCAGGGTTGGCAGAGTTCTCGAAATCCTTACGAAGGCATTCGGGGGGTTTTTTAAGGGTAGATCCCTGCTCCCTGCCTTCCCCTGGCCGCCCCAGCTGAGCTGGCGGATGGCGGCCTGTCTGAAAACCCCTCTGGGCGCTGCTCGCAGGCCTCTGAGGCAGAGTGGATGCTGCGAAGGAATTCGCGCTGTGCATCCCACCTGCTCGGGCTTGCAGCGGCGTGGGTGTGTTTGGGGGTCTGAGGGGAAGGGGGGGGCTTGGAGGGGAACCCTTCTTCTGCCCCAGTTCGGAAGAGTGAAACTCACCTGACCTGTTTGCAGAATCCCAGCCATTATCCCGCCCCATCTCGCGGTCCCCCGGTGGGCTACGGAGGATTTTGTCGAAGACAAAAAAATAAAATAAAATAAAATTAAAAAAAAATTGCCTTAAGTATTTAAACATGTTGGACCATGCATGCCTCCAGCCACGGCGTTGTGGGGTTTTTTTGGTCCCTCCCTCCTTTTTTTCTTTCTTTTTACCAAAGTATATTCATCAAACTGCTGAGTTGGAAAGATTTGTAATGAGTTTTTGAGCTGTACGACTGTGTTTTTTTCCCCCTCTCCCCCCGCCCTCTCCCTCTTTCTAAATCTTCATCTGACATTAAATAAAGCAAATCCCAAGCAGATTAACTGTCGCATGGTTCTGCTCCGTCTCCCCAGTCTGTTTCCAGGTCTGGCGCAGGGCTGGGCGGCGGCGACGGTGGCGGGAGATGCCCAGGCGGCCAGCGGAGGCCCATGTGGCGCGCTAGGTGGGACCCCGGCGTCCTGAAGGCAGAGGCGCTGGCCCTCCTGCCCTGCGGCCTGGGCATGGCCTTCTCCCAGGCCCACGTGCTGGCCGCCAGGCGGCACCAGCACAGCCGGCTGGTCATCGAGGTGGACGAGTACAGCTCCAACCCCACGCAGGCCTTCACCTTCTACAACATCAACCAGGGCCGCTTCCAGCCTCCGCACGTGCAGATGTAAGTG